CTAAACTAACAACTCAAAATATGTAATTTTAAAAAGGTTATTTTGAATATGCAGAATCTCCCCCATGGAAATTTTAAAAAGTTGGCAAGTATGTTGACAGTCGTGCTGAAGTGATATTTTAAATGAAATAAAGAGGAAGCTACTCTATGTATCAAAAACTACAACAGAATTCTCTAGTGTTCTCGCCTGCAGAGGGACGAGGATCCTCAAGTAGACAAATTGTGGATTTGTATGTGATGTTATATGGAAATATAATGTTTATACTTGGCGTACACTGTAATAGAACTGTAACTTCTATGTATTTCTGTGATAGAACTTGTAACATATCTATATGATTTCCTCACTTGAAGGATTGTATAAACATGCAAGGCTTTGGTAAACATAATTTGTTACTCTTGAGCAGGTAACATTCTTGTATATCCAAAGAACATGTTGGTGATGCATAAATTTCAGCACCCAGTTGTATCAAGCATCAGACAAATATATCAAATTTGAATCTTTTATTTAATTTAAGATGAAATTCAAAACATGTGTTTTTCTGATATAAAAAAAAAACAGATAAAAAAATATCTAATATCAAATAATTGACATCCAAATTTAACCTATTGAAACTTGATGCAGTTGGATCAAGGGAGTAAAAGTAACATTCTTTTGTTCAGCATAGAAAAAGATAAGTGCAGTCAGGTTGCATACTGGATAGCGCACTCTCCTTTCATCAAGGCAGCAGGGGTTCGATTCCCTGATCAGATGTGAAATGGTATACAGTTTCCTCCCACATTAAGATCCCAGTGCTATAACATACAGACCAATAGGAGGCTCTAATTGATATATGTTGAAAGATTTTGTTTCATGATTGTTTTAAAATAAATAAAGTTAAATAATAAGATAAATGTAAGAGTACAACATATCAGTCTTCAATATAATGGCCTTGTATACACAGATATTGCTGTAATCCTTTTAACATACTGCCATACAAAACAGGTATTTACATATATCATTTATACCAATAAATAATCTGGTGATTGCATTATATTTAATGTTAGATGTAATGTACAAATTACATGCTCAAGATTTGTGTTAGATATAAGGAGATATGCTACTGTTATCTTATTTACATCATATTGAAATTTGTTTTTAATGTATTTCTTTTTACAGTGTTTTAGTTTTCTGTAGGAATCACGTGATTCTGAATTGCTGGAGAAAGCTCAAACAGTGTACATTGCAAATATGTCATCAACACTTGTATACATTTCAAATGTGTCATCAATATTTGTATACATTTCAAATGTGTCATTAATATTTGTGTACCTTCCAAGTGTGTCTTTGTTTAATTAACCAATTAGTTTAAACAAATATTGTGTGTCATGAGCCTTTTGATGTGTTTTATATGAAATTTATTCAATGATTTGAAAGTATACTTCTACACAAAAAAAAAACATTAAAAAAAAAAAGAATTTTTATACTGGATTGTAAGTTCCTGATTATCAATTGAATTTTATATTTGAATAAAATTTCTTATTTATCGTACGACATTAACTTCAGGCAACATTTGCCAAGAAGGTTATTTTGTACCTTATTTTCAGACATTAAAAATTAAAAAGAATTTTTAAAGTGTCTTGTCATATGATAAAAATAAAAAGTACTTGATGTATTTAAGAAGTTTTCAAATGATGAACAGTTTTATCATTAAAATTATTCTTGATAAATATCATTTTTTGGCTGTTAATTTTGGGAAAGTAACCCTTTTACCCCTATGTAACTTAAATAAACTCTTGACTAAATTGATCTGGTTGAGTCCATTTTGGTCTATAGTGTTGAAAGGGTTATTAATTTATTCATGGCAACTTTAATTCTGCAAATTTCAAACTTCAATTGCTCATTGTTACATAATTTATGTTGGACATTCAACAGAAATTTTCATTAAGTTTGGTTATTTATAAAATGTGATTTATTTTTAAATAAATTGTGAAAAATGTCTTGTGTTTGTTAAATTTCTGCGACATTTATAGTGATTACAGGTGCGCAAGAAAAGGAAAAGACGGATCACCTAAAAATTCGATAATGGGAGTTTTATATACATTGACCCAAAAAAAAGAATTCTGTATGTAAAGCAAAAGAGCTGACGTTCTGGATACAACCTACCTAGTCAAAGGTCAAGGTAGCAATACCATAATGCATCAGCAGCAAAGGTTCATATTTACCAATCCGAATTAAATACAGGCTGCAACTGACTCAATGTCAAATCAACCATCAGACAGAAAAAAACACGTTTATACTAGTTTGCAAAAGTAACAAGTCATTCGGATTGATTTATGTCTCGCCTGTGGCCTGCTTTTAACAATCGATGCAAATATCAGAGAAACTAACTTAAATGCAAAGTGTTGATGGAGATGCTGACAAAGTCAATGGACCATGAAGGATAGGCCGCATCCAGCATTTGATGACTGGGGTGATATGTACTACCTAAGATGCATCTATGGATTAAGTTTGGTTGGTGTAGCACTTATACTTTCAGGAAAACTAACTTAAACACAAAAATCACAAAAGGATTAAGCAAGGAAATTAAGATGTTATGCAATATTTGAACTTATGAATATCATTATTTGTTGGGATATTACCTTCAAACCCATACATAGATACTTATACATGAAGTGAAAAGAATGACTATTTACCAATTAAATGTGATACATTCCTTGTCTGAAAATGGCAATAAAAGCCTACGGATAAAATACAGAACTACACAACTTTTCAATCAATTAACAAAACACTAATTGTGAACATTTAAACATAAAACAAATGAAGCTCAAGAACTTAATTAAAGCTTTCTCCTCCTACATTAATACACCCCCTTCCCAACAAACAAATGAAGCTCAAGAACTTAATGAAAACTTTCTTCTCCTACATTAATAAACCCCCTTCCCAACAAACATTTGCTATATATAAATTTGCTGTATAATAAGATTATATATATATAATCCGATTGCCATTCTGAAATATTTAACAGCATGTATGCTATAGATCATCAATCTTACTCAGATATTTTGACAGTTTTCTCAAAAATAAAAAATATATCAGTTATCACATTCTTAGTGTTTTTCTCTCTAAATAAATTTTTAACAATGAATCGTAAATTTATCATCTCACCACAAAGAAACTTTAGCACTACATGTGTCAGTTGGCGATTATGATTTCTGAACAAAAAGGCTCCATTATGGAAATCATCATCGTTATGACTAATATGATACAGTAAGGTTAGATATCATGACCCTTGCTAGAAATTGATTGTCTGTTTAACTGAAGGGTTTTTAATGACATGAAACTATTTTAGACTGGTAAAGAGAATTCAGACCGGTAAAGAGAATTCAGACTGGTAAAGAGATTTTAAGGGCTACAGGGAAGCTTATATTGGTTGCCTCGTAGAACAATGAAGTAAGATTTACATGCAGAAAATATTTTGATGTCCAGGAATTGCATGGAGTGACGAGGTAAGTGGCATTTGATTGTGATTAACATGTTTGTTTTGTGCTCAATTTATGTGTTGTCAAAAGTTTGGGAAAAGCAGAGACACTTAACAAAACCCAAGATATTATTTCGCCAAGAACATAAACAAACAGAACCATTAATTATTTATTTATTTTAACATAAGTACTTATTTTAACAAGAGGCCCAGAGGGCCTGTATCGCTCGCCTGAATATGTTAAAAATAATTGGTATGAAGTAAAGATATAGCACTCCATGGTAGGTACTGTAAGTACATATGAAATTTCAGAAAGATCCATCCAGTACTTGAGAACAAACTTCAAACAGAGCCCCACCCCTATTACCCTATGGGGGTCATACCCACCGTTCATACAAAATTGAGTCCCCTTGGCCAAAGGATGCTCCTGACTAAATAAGGATAAAATCCTGTCATTCGCACAGATGAAGGTATTTGAAGAATTTGCTATGTTTCCCCTAATGGGCCCGCCCTTCTGCCCCTAGGGGTGCCACACTCGCTGTTTATACAAAATTGAGTCCCTTTTGCCCACGATCCTCCAGACCAAATTGGGAAGAAATCCCTTCATCCCTTTGGTAGAAGAAGGATTTTAAACGTTTACCTCTATTTCCCCTATTGGGCCCCGCCCTTCTGCCCCCTTGGAGACCACACCCACTGCTTATATGCCCCTTGGGCAAAGGATGCTTCAGAATAAATTAGGATAAAATCCCTTAATACCTATGGTAGAAGAAGGATTATAAAGGTTTTACCTCTATTTCCACTATTGGGCCCCGCCCTTCAGGTCCCAGGGGGGCCATGCCCACCATTTATACAAAATTAGTTCCCCTTGACCCAAGGATGCTCCACACCAAAAATGGACCAAACCCTTTCACACCTACAGAAGAAAAAAAGGCTATGTTTCCCCTATTGGGCCCCGCCCCTGGGGGGCCAGACCTACGGTTTATACAAAATTGGTTGCCCTACACCAAAGGATGCTTTTAACCAAATATGGAACAAATCCTTTCAATCCTACGGAAGTAGAAGGATTTTAAAGAATTCGCTATATTTCCACTATTGAGCACCGCCCCTCGGCCCCCAGGGGGGCCAGACCCACCGTTTATACACAATTTGGTTCACCTTTACCCAAGGATGCTCCACACCAAATATGGACCAAATCCTTTTATTCCTACAGAAGAAAGATTTTAAAGAATAATTTGCTATGTTTCCCCTCACTGGGCCACGACTCTCAGGCCCCTGAGGGGCCAGACCCACGGTTTATACAAAATTGGTTCCCCTTTACCCAAGAATACTTCAGACCAAATATGGAACAAATCCTTTCATTCCTACAGAAGAAGAAGGATTTTAAAGAATTTGCTGTTTCCCCTATTGGCCCCCGCCCCTCAGCCCCCAGGGTGGCTAGACCCACCATTTATACATAATTTGTTCCTCTTTCCCCAAGGATGCTTCTGACCAAATTTTGTCAAAATCTACTCGGCCGTTCAGGACAAGTAGCGTTTTAAAGGAAAAGTTGACGGACGGACGCTGCGGTATGGCATAAGCTCACCATTGTCCTTCGGACCAGGTGAGCTAAAAATGTAACAGTTAAACATTATGGTAAAACTAAAATATTGCTGATATCACAGAACGCTTTATGGGCACGTGAATGAAACATGCTGAATGCATACAATAGGTGACATCATCAGCTACCAAGATTGTTAGTTAATAATATATATATATATAGTCCGTAGCTCAAAGCTTGTGATCCTCTGGAAAATGGAGATGACATCTTCATATAGATTAGGTTTCTATCAAATGTTTACACAAACTTTAGTATACGTACATCTGATCAGATGACGTCATGGAGCAGACATAGGATGGTGTAGATATGCATATCGTGATACTGATTACAGCTTCCATCGATTATGACGGAGAGTATATGACACGCTAGTTCACATAAAGCGAAAGTAAAATACACAATATCAAGTGAGGTCACAAACTAGTGTTACGTGACTGATAACGATGAGGTATTAACACACTTGCTGGTGCTTTGAGCAATAATGACAGAAGACTTATCATTTCTGACGTAATACATCATTAACAAATAATGTTCTAGTTGACCTGCTGATATAATAACATTTTGAAAATTAATAAGTGTTCACAGTTTAAATCACTTTCTCAAGATTAAGCAATATCTTTGTTATTGTTTTAACTCTTTACCCCTGAAGACAAATTTGCACTCTTCCTATTCAAAGGTTGGAATAGTTCATATTGACATTGCAGGGGTGAATGAGTTAAAACCCTTATTCAATGTCCGACACAAGTTGTCCCCGAAGTCAGACTACGCCTACCAGCATATGTACACTTGGATACAAATTGCTCCAAACATTTCATACCTCACCGTGACATGGGTAGTTAATGACTGGTTAAAAACATCAAAGACATTGTGGTAGTTATTTAAAAGTTCGGTTTTAGATTAGACCAGGAGCTATCGATGAGATTATCGCTGTTGTACCTTCCTACAAACTCGACAGGTCTGTGAACCAGTCCGTAATTGGCTGTTACGGAACTCGTCGTGAGGAAACATCCGCTGACATTTCGTGCATTTGGTGGATCCAAACGGAAAACTCAATGACCCTTCTTCTGGTATTATATCCAGCGGAAGGTAGGCGTTAAACTCAAACCTGTCGAAGGATCGTACTTCCATGGCTCGCCAGATATCTGCATACCGTTCTGAGGCTACTGACAGTCGAGGCAGAACATCGTCAGACTCTTTCAGCTTCTTGTACATCGGGAACATGGCGGCTACGTCAACAACACAGTAGTCGATCAGGGTTTCCGTAAGAGGTCGAACTGTCCATATCCTGTAGTTATCTTTAAGTTCCTTGTTTCCCTTCTCTTTCTTTTCCAGCAGTTCTGAGTCGTAGACGTAGTTCCCGAGACAGCGTTTGTAGCCGTTTATATTTTCCACTTCATCTTTTTCACATCTTTTAATCGACCCGTACGATCGTCTTGGTCTGTGATTTCGACGGTAGATTATGTCCAGGAGTTGCAGATCCAACACACCTGTGAGCTTAACCTTGAATTGATGCCACAAGCTGTCGGAATCTTGTCTACAGTCAAACATTAGCTTCTCGATAGATTTATTCTCCAGAATGTCACGAAGGCCACCATCAAATACAGACTGTCCCAGTTTGAAAACGTCGAAGATGAAAACCTTTGTGGTAGTGGCTACTGTTAAGATGGTTAGTTGACCTTTTCTGCTCAATTTAACTCCTTCGCAGTCGACTGCAATCAGTTTTTGGCTTTTTATTTCGGAAAAGGCTGGCACCAGACTACTTCTGTCGTCAATTAAAGTGTGGTCTTTTGGAGTCGCCATTTTTGATTCTGAAATAGAAAAAATACCTATTTAAACATTTTATGAAACACAAACAGAAAATGTGTACATGGTGTTATTGCTTAACATATCTGTGTGATTTATATTCACCGTAGAAGACATTGAATTTTAAAAATTATCTCATAAAACTATATTTGGTATATAAACATGCAAAATGCATCCCGTAGCGCTTTGCCAATTAAGGCTCTTCTGGAGATATAACTGATATTATCTAAGTATAATTTGTGAGCGAGATTTTCCTTTTGAAAACTCATTTACTATCCCTTAACATAGTTAGGCTTTCCCCGAATTAGTCTGAAGAAGCGAAAGCACTAGCAAATTGGTATCTTCGAACTTTGTTTAATTTCGACAATCACTTCTTTGTGCAATAGACGAACGTCTTTCTGAGGAGCAATTGCGTCTATTCTTTCTTGTTTTTCACTCCCATATTCATAGCTTCAAGCCATTTCAGATAATTTGAATTTAAAACTCTTGCCAATAAATAATAATACATACGTTGGAATGAAGATATTACTTTTTAATTTGTACAAAAGAGTACAGTTTCAACACTGAAATAAAACATAACCAGCTTGAAATCAGTTTTAATGAAGTTGTTCTCATATTTAAACTCAATTTATTTTGCTCGAAGTTCCTTTCTTATAACTTAGAAATCTGTCGACGGGTTAGAAAAATAAACACGACACATTGACTTAGTGACAACTACAAGTCTTGGTTAAATCTTAGACGTATATGTTATACCTACGTCTCTGGTTAAATAAAAGAATCGGAAAAGTATGAATTGTAAAACAAAAACTTGTTCACATGAACATCGACGTTTGAGCAAGAGAAGGTTTCATGATTAGTTGTGGTGCCGTTCGGAAGTGTACAACTTTTCATACACAGCATATTCCACCTTCTGTTAAATAATTATATCGCAACTGTCAATAAATACATCAAAGACAATGTGAACATTTATTGATAATAAGGTCATGATTTGTGACTGATTATTATCCTATTTACTAGCTAGCATGTTGTACATTTGAATGTAAAAATCTGTACCAAAATTGCCACAAGTGAGTCAATTTCCGTCAACCGTCGTGTCGCTTGGTTAATAAACCCTTCGTACTGAAATTCTGTCTTTGTGTGCTTGAAGGGAAATAACTCTTTCTAAAAAAGCAACTACAAATGGTGCTGTTCACAGGTGAAGCACTGTAAATATCAGCTAATAAACATTATAAATTTAATTAAAATTGAAATAAATTAACAACAGGAAAGTAAAACATCCTCCTATCTTTGACGATTGAATATATTGCTAATACAACAGGGAAAAAAAAGTAAGTCTACCATTTCTTCATTCTGAAGAGGAATCGGGAACACCTTCATTAGAAACGTTTTCTGGTTGAGGTAGGGTAAGACAAATAGGTTACTGACAACTATGCTCGTGAACTTTAAAAGATTTCCGAAAAGATCGTAGAAAAAGTATGAGTAACATAACATAAAATAACACTGGTGTGCTCTTCCCGTTCTGTGCAAATGTGTTTGCATAGCACTACCTATGTGTCGGAAGATTGTTCAAAGAAAGAGGAAAAAATGACAAAAGGTAATATTTGAAATGATGAATAATGACATATCTATAATTTCGAAGATTGTTAGAACACATTACAAAGGGTAATATTAAATGATTAGTGATATTTATAACTATTTAATTTGATCGACAAGTAAAGGTGTTGAAAAGGCGATCATCATTAATTATGTGGTTACATTTAGGCACACAAACCTCTGATAGCGACTATTTTGAATTATTTCCTTATTTCCATTTTCAAAGAACAGTTTTTGATTCCATATAATGAAATTGCTAATAGCATACAAGGGACATCTTTGATATCCCTTTGCGTAATATTCACAAACACTCAAAAATAAACTTTAAATAAGTTTGATAAGATATTAAGTCGACGTATATGCACCTTGCTATGTAACGTCATATAACAGAAACTTCATATAACAGATATGCAGGTTTTCTATCGGAAATGCATGCTGCAATTTGTGCTGGAGAAGAGGTGTGGTGGAAAACTGCCTGTATTTCCCTAAGTCGGCATTTTTGAAAACGGAAAAAAATATTGATGAGTACATAATCTTTAGTAGCAAAAATGCATGGAATAGATTTAAAACCAATTGAGTATGAATTTTTGAACTGTTGAGATATTCGGTATTGTTGATATAATACTGCAAATATAGCCATATTCACTATATCTATGAAAGTGAAGGGGTTTCCCAGACTTAAAAAATACTTTCAATACTTTCCCATCCGAGGACCAACTTTTGAATAAACATTTTGATTCCGTGATGTAATATGCAAAAAACAAATCGTATGACGGAATAGTGGTCCTCCTTTGGTAAGTGCTCAAAATAATGAAAAACTGGGTTGATCAAGTTTTTAAAACTGCGACAGATGTTTCTTGGGTTAAAGCAGTTTGTATTTCCCTTTTTGTCTATGTCCGATGTAGCCTAATGTTTAACCAGTTAGCTTGTGACCAGAAAATGTGAACAGTGTAGGTTCGAATCCACATTCAGATTCACATTTTGTTTGTTTTACTTTTTTTTAATTTTAAGGCATGTGATCATTTTCCTTAATTAAGTGATAAATATTTTTCAAATCAATAGAACATTGTATTGATATTTTAATAACATACCTATTGATTTATCTTCTATGGAATCATGTCAACAAATCACTGCATGCGTGTACAGTACAGCTACGCTTTGTAGTTGAGACATCATTTTAAATGATATTTATGAATTGTTTTACCGTCCAATTGGCACTAGTATTTTTATTTATTATCTTAACGCAAGCAAACGATGCCGAAATACAAAATATATGGGATTGGTACAAAGCAAAACAAAAGAACTGTTATTATCGAAAAGATATTACCGAACATGCGGGAAAATTCATCATCGAGGCCAGTCTCATTTGTTTTATATGCAGGAAGACTGCAGCACAAAGTTAGGAGCGCAATACACGTGTAAGACATGCTATTCGAAAACTATATGTAATATTATCATTCCGAGTTAAAGAAAGAACAAAATCAAGATGTGTGTTTTTAAAAAAACAAGTAACGGCATGACGTACATTTGTAGCAGTAGTAGTGAAAACTAAATCCTTTCAAACTTGTTGGTAATGAATGTACGATCTTGTGTTTTATACAGCATAACGCGAAATATGCATGTTTAGTAGCCATGGCCTTGAATTCGTCTGTTTACAATAATCTATTCTTAGACACGGGACTCCGATCGAGCTACCTGTATAGAAATACCTGAGGACGCGTCATACAGTGCACGGTTGGAAGCGCGCACTATATAGCGGATCATAGCTTTCGGGAAATAGGCATAGCAACGCGCCATAGCTCTTTAAATGTCGCCATCATAAGCGTATTCCTAAGCATAGTATTTCAGTCGCAGTGTTAACGTTATTTGCTGTACTTTCCTGTGATGATCGAGTTTACTGTCCTGAATCTGACAGAAAACAGTTTAAATCCGAGTTGTACTCCAATTACTTATATTGAAGGTATAAATGCTCTCTGACGGGAGATTAACATTGTGTGCACTTCATTTTTTACCGAGTGTTTCTGATAGCCTTCCGTGTGACATTGAGTTGTAATTTGTCTGTTGATTGTATAGCTAGTAGTATAGGTTACTTGCGTGTAGAAACTATGACTAAGTGAAATACTTAGTAAACTTGTGCGTGAATAAATCTAGTCTACTATTTAATACCCGCAGTTCTCATTTTCTCGTTTGTGTTATTGACTGCAACGCAGTAAGGTTTTAACAAATGTACTCACATTACGATATCGAAGCTATCAATGCTAACAAGCTCGTGTGTAAGGACCTGACTGAGGCCAGAACGTACGAGGGTTCTGATTACAAACAACTGTAAACAATTTACATAATTTTAGTGCAGTTGTACATCAGAAAACTGAGAAGTGTTTATCATTTTGTGGCGCCCTACTACCCATATCCTTCTTCAGCGGGCTAGTCATTCTTCTACCTCTTTTCCACTGGGCCTGTGCCTTCGGTACATTATCACACAAAAGCATGTTTTTGTTAAAATAAAAGGACTTTAACTTTGAATAAAGGAAAATACAGCCGAGATTATTTGAGGGGGGGGGGGAAGAGCACTATAAAGGACGAAGATTCACCTTAATTATTTCAGTCATCCCCACCTTCGTCCGCCTTTACCAGATATAACGTTTTAGGTGGGTTGTATTTATAGCACACATACAACGTTATCCAACTATGACAACATTTATAATCACACAATATAGTAATGTAAACGTATCCCATAGTCTGTTATGGAAATATACACACACAGTACAGTAATATCAGTAAGTACACATGAAACAGTACGTATACATACCTGGGATAACACAAGCCAGCTGCTGCCTTTAACTGTCACAGACAAATCTAACGATAATGAAAGTACAAGACTCAAGGAGATCCACTTTCGAACCGGAAGAAGCTACGTATACCCCTTGTCCGTTAGCTTGCGCAACAATGGATTACAAAACTATAGATAACCTATATATATGCATAAGCGCATCAAATGGTGCACCTTGTGTTTTTAGAAAATCTCCATGTCCCT